AGATGAGGATAAGGAGATTGAAAGACCAAAGGAATAGTTTCCTACGGAATTACGAAAACCTATTTCTTTAACTAAGATAAATATAGAAAGACCACCTCCTCCATTTGCTCAGTACCAAGGGGAAGAATTAGAAGATAACTTGAAACAAAAGACTAATCTAGTAGAATTTGATCGACAATCTGAATTATCTAAAGAGAATCTGATCCAAAATTGAGGAGATCTTGAATTATCTTATGGGGATCCATTTCTTATAAACTTTAAGAGTGGTATTAATTTGAAAATTGAGAAAATTAATAGAAGTATATTGGATCTAGAAGGAAATATGAGGAAAAATGCTATGAATCAATCTGAAAAGGAAGAGCTGAAAAAAAAAATTTGAGGACTTTGTAGGAATCCTTGGATCTGGAAAAGATTGGACAATTGATCAAGGATTACTTAATAGGGATTTTGATCCAGGTGGAATCATTTGTCAGGCTAGCGACGGTAAACCAAGCACTTTATGGGAGGCAACCCATAGTTATAAGTGTGGTTTAGTTTAGTACGTATAAAATTCATGATTTTTAGTGTTATCTTGTGTTTGCTTTAGTGTGGATTGATCGTTTCGATTGATAATTGGATGATTTTTGGATTTTTAGTGATTTGATTTGATCTTTTTCTTTGTCATGAGGGAGATGATTCCTTAACTTTTTATTATGGCTAGACTTGGTTAATCTCTTGTAGTAGTTGGATCTACAAGTCCACTATGACTCGGGTCTCACCTGGACTTGAGTTTTATAAGAGAAATCTTGAATTTGAACAATTATAGTTCCAAGTTAATTTTGTTACTTCCTTTTTTTTGACTTTTTTTTCATTTGCTAGAAGTCATGAACTTATTTGATGAATAATATGTGGACGATCTTGCACTATCCTTATAACTATTAGAGGTGCTTAATTAAAAGGAGCCAATATATCAGGGACAATCTTATCTTTGGGATTATACTCTATAAAATCATTTAAAATGTACCTTTTTTATCTGTGTGGTGATTATGTTAGAAATTGAATGTAAGGTAGTGAGATGCAATGAGATGGAGGAAGAATTGACATCATTTATCTTGTTTGTTTGTTTGTGTTTGTGTTACAATTTTATAAGACTTGAAGAACATTTTTATATTCTAATATTGATACATGTTATGCTAGTTAGACTTTTGTTTAGTTAATTTCATTCTAGCATGTTTAGTTTAGATTCACTTTCTAACACATGTTTTCTATCCTAATAAATAATTGTAGATGTTTTTAACAGAAATTTGAGGCAGATATAATTTCTAAATATTTGAAGTTAGTATACTTCCTTTTAATTTAATATTATTGCAAGCATGTTTTAAGCTAGATTTACTTTCTCCTGCAGTCATTCTATCCTGATTATGCATGTATATGAATTTGATAAGATGTTGTAGTAGTTAGTAGATTCAACATTAACTTTTTCTTGCTGCTACATTTTATGGAATTAATTGCAACATATTTTAAAATTTAAGTTTGGGTGAAAGAAATTTTTCTTAGAAACTTAACTTTGTTTGTCCTCAATAGCCCTATTTAATTTGTTATTACTTTTAAAATGACTTGTGGTATGTGGTGTTTTCATTAGGTTTCTATAACTTTGATTTTAGGAATGTTAAAAAAATAACTTAGTTGAAATCCTATGTGATGAAACTGTTCTAGAGTTAAGATATTTTGTAGGAAACATTGGGAAAATGATTTTGCAATTTATGGTAGAAAAGAGTTGAATATTTGAAAAACTGTGATTCTTAGATATATACTTATTGAGAATTGAGCATTTATTAAAACCTTTTTTTCAACTAATACTTACACTTTTAAAAAGTGAGGGAAATTTTTTGTGCTTTAGACTTTACAAAAAGGATAGTGAAATTCAAATTTATTAAAGGTCTATCAAGATTTAGTAATCCTCACATAAAAAAAGAGAAAAAAAAGAGTGAGGATCAAAATTATCCTGAAAGAAAAAGAAAAGAAAGGATTAAAAAACAATACACAAGGGAAAATAAAAGATAAGTTAAAAGAAAATATGTGAGAACTTTGAGGAGAAGCCTAATAAGAAATTGGTTTGACTTGAATCTTTTTAAATGAAAAGGCTTAGAAACATCCTAAGCTTATTCTTATTTCAAAAAAGGTATTAGTGAATTTGGTATAGATAAGGTGCTTTAATTCTTGTTTTTATACTTTCCATGAATCTTTAGTTTGACAAGTTTCAATAACTTTATAAAAAGGTATTGGTTTCAATAACTTTTAAAAAATAAATAACTTTTGAAGTAAAGAAAATTTTGTCATGGCACATTTCAATATGTCATTCTTTGCTTAATCTCCTTTACACCTATCACATATTTTTGAATGAAATAAAACTTTAAAGAAAGGTTTTTTATGTCTATTTTGTAGGCATATCTGTTAGTAACGAAACACAGCTAAAATTGGGCAAAATAGAGCTAAAATGGAACCAAACAAAGCAAAATGGTGAAACTACGCAGAGTGGGTGCCGACAGCACTAGAGTGCAGAGAGTGACATGAAAATGGCGTCGATGGTGGCAGGGACGGTTATGACCTCATACACATTGAAGTTGGATGCTTTTTGGCAGGTTTCCTGAGGCAACTCTTGGGAAATTCATCCCTACACTATAATAGAGTGATTTTATGTCAGAAAAAGGTGTGTGTGAGTGGAAAAACATGAAGAATGTTTAAGGATCTTAGAGTATGAGTAGAAATGTACATTTCTACCTTTTTGGAGGGATTAGTGATGGGATTTTGAGAGATTCTTTAAGGGAATATTCTAGCTCTGCATGGATCAGTGAGAGACTTTGTGGGAGAGATTTTCATCTTTCTTTCAAGGGAAAATACTAAGTTTTGTGTTCTTGATTATCTTATGATTTTGTAAACACTTATCTAGGGGATTTGTTTTGATGAATTGAAGTTTTCCGTTATTTTTTCTTCGTGCTTCTTCCTGCTTTGTGATGTGTTTTTTTTACTTTTTCTTCTTATTAGGAAATAGTGGCATGTGAGAATTATAGCATTATTTTCCTTTTACTTTTCTTTTGCAATGAGTAGGATTCATGTTTAGGATTTTGGGATGCATGCTAGATATATTTTTAATTATAAATGTAATAGTTTTTAGTTGCACTTCATTTACATTACAATAAAGGCTTGTTGTAGTATTAAAAATTATTGTGATTGCATTAAGACTTGAGAGGGCGGTGTAATTCTCAAAAAAGGTGGAATCATACAAAGTGGAACCACATTTAAATTCCATGGATGGTGAAGTTCATGGGGGGTTAGATGCAAATAAATAAGGAAATACACTTTGATGGGCGTAGAATTGGA